ATTTAGGTGAAGTTGTGCGCTTGCATTTTTCATCGCATCATCCTATGCAGTGTGGTGAATTATTATTGCTCATTATTGTCTATAGGCTGCATCACCCACAAGTGACACCTGCTTAGCCATATTTCCTAGCAAAAACTAAATAGGTAAAATCCTCCTTCTTCCTTTTCCTTTTTGATTTCATCTTATTGTTTTATTTCAGTTTTGTTTTATGTGTTACCCTCGTAGTGACATTTGAGAAGAGCCATCAGTGTTTTGAGTAATAGTTTGATGACATGTAATTTCAATTTCAATTTCAATTTATTTATAAAGCACAACTAAACACAACTACCGTTGACCAGTGTGCCGTACAAAGTGAGTAACCACAGACAAAATTAAAAACAAAGACAGAGTCACAAATAAAACTGCAAATAGGGCAGAGCAAATGCAAATCACGAATAATAAGCCAGATCAAATAAAAATGGTTTTAACCTGGATTTAAAAATGGATAGTGTAGGGGCAGTTCTGATTTCTGTAGGAAGATTATTCCAAAGTCTCGGAGCAGCTATGCCGAATGCTCGATCACCCCTAGACTTGAGTCTGGTTCTAGGAAACACTAAGAGCCTTAAGTTGGCAGACCTGAGAGCTCTTGCAGGTTGGTGAACTATCAACAGGTACGAGAGGTAAGAAGGTGCTAAACCATTTAAAGACTTAAAAACCAATAAGAGCACTTTAAAATGAATCCTGTAGCGCACAGGTAACCAATGTAACGACTGCAGGACAGGGGTAATATGCTCCCGCTTTCGAGCTCCCGTCTGGACTCTGGCAGCCGCATTTTGAACCATCTGAACCATTATAATACTTTCTTGTTTGCCGTCAGCATTCAGCAAATACGCATTTATATAATTTAAACAAATCTTTGAATGAGACGTGACATGTGAATGACTAATGAACATTTAATTTCACAAACCTTGCAGACTTAGTCGAATCTAGTTGAAATCTTGTGAAGTGTGCATGTGACCTGCATGATTGCGTGTTCTGTGACGGTTGGTCCTATGGTCCGTGCGAATTGAATACGGACAGGAGGAGAGTTCAGCTTCACTGGAGACGCGCGATCGACAAACTGTGAAGACAATAGCATAATACAGTGAAATATGTTTTTTAGCCATATAAATACAGTTGCCATGTGTGTGGGTAAAATTTACCCGCTGGCGCTTTTAGGTATACGGCGACCTCTGGCGATTCTAGTGTTAAACCGTACACTCAAAGAGGTCACTGACCAGTCCAAGTTCCTCTGTTCCTGAAGCTTTTTTGGGATTGAGGAAAACCCCAAGCTTTGAAGCAGACTAAAGTTTTAATTCTCGGCAGCTGGTCCTTTGGGCTGATCCAAGACCATGTGACTCCCACTGACACATACTCATGCTGCTACACTCACTCACTCTCTCTCTCACACACACACACACATACACACATATACACCATTTATATAATTTAAACAAATCTTTGAATGACTACTGAACAACATCTAATTTCAAAAACCTTGAAAACTTAGTCGGATCCAGTTGTGAGATCTTATGAAGTGTGCATTTGTATCCTGCACGATCGCGTGTTCTCTGCGTGACGGTCAGTCCGTGTGAATTGAATGCGGACAGGAGGAGAGTTCAGCTTCACTGGAGACACGTGATCGACAAACTTTAAACTCGTGATTTCAAATTATGCTGCGCTTCATGCTTTTGCCCAATGTCATATTCATGTCATTTTCACTGTGTGCTGCATGTAAAATGAGTGTTACATTGACTGGAGACGCGCGATCGACAAACTTTAAACTCGTGATTTCAAATTATGCTATGCTTCATGCTTTTGCCCAATGTCATATTCATGTCATTTTCACTGTGTGCTGTATGTAAAATTAGTGTTACCTTGGCTTTATTTGAAAAAATATGATTCCCAATGCACACAAACTTCCCAGAATACTGAGTGCCCTGTTGGTTACAGTGTTTACTTCCTTTTTTTTAATTACATTTGTATTAAATATTTGTTTATTTGTGAAAAATGCTTTGTCATTTAAAGTATAAGCATGTTTATTTTACACATGAATTTTTTTGAATCCATTTTCAAATGATTTCAAATTTCTTAAATATGAAATAAAATAAATAAAGTTATATCGGCTTTATATCAGCCATCGGCCACCCTGCTTTCCAAGATATCGGCATCGGCTGTCAAAAAACCATTATCAGTCGACCACTACAAATAATTGAAGTGAAGTGATGTGCTTTTGTAAGAAAAATATCCCTATTTAAAACTTTATAAATCATAATCTCTAGCTTCCGTTAACTGTCGTACGCGCGTTCACAAGAGAAACCATAAAACAAGTTTGCATAATAATAATAATAATAATGGTAATTTTATCACATTATTATTTCTAATCATCAACATTGTGAATAATAATAATGGTAATTATTTTATCACATTATTGTTACTAATATCAACATAATGAATGATAATAATAATAATAAAATAATAATGTGAAAAATTAAAAATCTAATGATTTAGGCATTGTCAAAAGGCAGAGATAAAATAAATAAACGTCAGTTCTTATTGGTTTTTAGACATCTAAAAAATCAAAAACAAGTTTGCAACTAACAACAATTGTATTTTCACTTTAATAATTATTATTAATATTAAAAACAGTTATACATATAATAATAATAATAATAATAATAATAATAATAATAATGATTAATACTAGGGCTGGGTTTTGACTAGGGATGTAACGATTAACCGCGAGCCGGTTGAAAATCGATTCAAATATGTGACTATTCAAATCGGTTGAGATGCTAAGCAAATCGCGATTCATTTAGG